TTCTACACACCTTTCAATGATTTTGTGTCTGTCAGTGATCAGCGTATTCCCATCCACACTGACGAGACGGGGGTATTCTTATGATAAGAGGCCATAGACTTCATTCAGTGTATCATAAAACATCTGATATTATGTTTGTCAGCTTAGCTTAGGATACCGTCGGCTTTGTTACACATTCAAGAGCCCTGCGTTGGCTGGAGTTTCTGTTGGGTAGTATTACGAATATTATTCTCCAAATTGGACTTTGGATCGTGTTGGTATTCTTTGTATCCATGTCGTCCTGTTGCGGGGTTGAGAGGCGGGAGACAGTGTTAATGATGAGCAGTTCATGCTATGCACAGGTTTGAGGCAGTAGAAGACCATTGTTGGTGCAGTGGCCGACGCCATAATTTTCAGGAGATGTGAGACCCAACACTTGCAATTAGGTCGACAAAGATGATGAGCTTGTCAGATTTGGAAAGAGAGGTTATGCATTTCCTCTCGTCCAACGCTCTAAGACTTGAAGTCATATTATGGTGGAGGGGGTTTGAAATAATGTCACGACTTGCGCTTGAGTTAGACGTAAGTGAGATAACGTTGTGTAGGTGATCCTCAGTCTCTTATCCAGATACGTCACATTCCAGTGGTACAACAATATCGAGAAATCTGGCGACGAGTACGGATGTAGCGGATGGCCTTCAGTTCCTCCTCCTTCGCACAAACTGATACAAGAGCATATATATATATATATATATATATATATATATATATATATATATATATATATATATATATATATATATATATATATATAGTATACACGATGTATCAGTGATATACCACGAGATACAGACTTTAAAAGGAGTTTCCTTTAATGAAACATTTACACAATTGGTATATCATCAATACATGATATACATATATTTTATATCACATACAAATACACATATTTCCCCTTTGAGCGGAATTACGATATGTTCCAGTCAACTGTGTATTGACCGAGTGAGTTCTATGCATTTTCTTGTTTTTCGCAATTATATGTGCAAATTGATAAGTTGATTGTTTTCTTTTTGAGTTTCCATTTTTATTTTAATCACATTTATTAAATCGATATAAAACACTTATATTTTAAACATGAAAGCTGCTTTTTATGAAGAAATAAGTGCACTACAAACACTATCAGCTTTTTGTACGCTGAACACGAACATTCAGTCAGTCATTCACTTTCTGGCGTATGGAAATTAGCGTGTAATAGAAATTAAGCGAAATGACGAACCATTTAGAGGTAATTAATTGATCAATGTCATTATCCTGCTTAATTAAGAAGATTTATAAAGACTATATTATTCTCTCTCTCTCTTTCTTTCTCTCTCTCTCTCTCTCCTTCTCTCTCTCTCTCTCTCTCTCTCTCTCTCTCTCTCTCTCTCTCTCTCTCTCTCTCTCTCTCTCTCTCTCTCTCTCTCTCTCTCTCTCTCTCTCTCTCTCTCTCTCTCTCTCTGAATGGTTTGACTTTACATTTCATTCATAGGTCCAAAAATATCGTCTGATGACACAAGCGAAATTCGTCAAAGCTCGTATTTTAGTTATTTTCTTTCGTATCTAGCTCCGATAATTCAGAGAGAGAGAGAGAGAGAGAGAGAGAGAGAGAGAGAGAGAGAGAGAGAGAGAGAGAGAGAGAGAGAGAGAGAGAGAGAGAGAGAGAGAGAGAGAGAGAGAGAGAGCGAGCGGGGGGTTCAGAACAAAAACATCAGCGCATTAAATACGTTACAGTATGTGTACATCGTAACCGACAAATTTAACAATATGCCTAGTCGACAGTCTATTAGAACTATCTGTCATTGATATTATGAACACTGTAAAGAGATCTTAAGGAAAGTGTAAACATACAGTTACTACGAACCATATTCTTGTAGGTTGCTTGGGGCAAGTTCAGTTTTAATGTTTTCGTCCAGTGCAATTGGTTTTTTCTATCTCGCTCCAGATTTCTGCATATTTTTTTCCAATACGTACAAGATTGAGAGGAGAACGGAGAAAGAAAGGATTATAATGAAATTGTGTTCTATTTTAATATCACTTAGGAAACAGGAACTACGAATGCTTGTTATCATTATTTTCATATTTCATTTACGATTAATGAGTTGAAATTCATAATTGATCTATATGCCTCCAGTTGAAAGAATGTTTATATATTCATATTATTGCGCCATTGATCGCAATTTGATGTACCAATATTATTGGTATATGAATTTGTTTTAAGGAAACACTTTTCTTTTGTGTAGCTTAAGACTATAGAGTCGTGACTCATGTTCCTCGATAAATTTATTTGGGAGTATTCAAGTTGATGGTAGAATTCACATTTTATTTAGTTGATTGTTTATGATATTTTCACATGCCCATAGATAAAGATTTTGAACAAATACGAATGTGGTTTTGCAGATGCTATACCTGTGTTCAGAGAAGGAGCCCACTTTCGTATTCATTTAGAGTAGATTCGTTAAAGTCTGTCTAAACTATGGATTTGATAGCCAGTAAGTTTTTTCAGAAACACTAAATAGTCAAACATGAGGTCGAATTTCATTATCAAACTAAGTCACTACTTGGTCATAGATTTATCCAAAATAAGAAACGTTTACGAAGGCAAATATTTATTTTAAATGGAGATAGTGGATTTCTCTCTGTAATTATATACAACTAACTTCCATAGATTTTGATTACAGTAAGAGCAATATTTATAATTTACTTGCTTTTCCTGTTACAGATGACAGATGATGTTTACGTATTTGACTCTGATATTTTCTGTCCCATAAAGTGTAAAAATGTAAATAAGACATAAATCAATTAGTTGTGACATAAGAATGGGAAATTTGCATGAAGAAGATATATACCGTATCTGAAAGACGTTTTTTGTGTAACTCCTGTCGTAAATAGATAACTAATTAGCATTATTTCCCTTTCGACGTTGACACTGCAAAACTAGTCATACAATTATTAATACGACTGAGTGCATCGCGATTTTCGGCTAAAACGTTATTTGAGACAAAAATATAGCAAATGTCATACTGACTTTTAAACCCAAACAGTTTAGTAAACTCAATTCAGGTCCACCCTTCTACGATAGCATGAAATTTGCATTGAAAACATTTTGAGAAAAAGAGCGGAATCATTTTACTACAAATAGCTGAAAATGTTTGTCATAACCAGAAAATAATTTAGGAAACCATGGATGGTCATTTCATATCGTATGAGATGATATACATCCACTCCTGTATTGGTCTTCGATTATATTCAGCAGGTTAGTAAATAATTTTGAAATAGCAGAATAACTTGTGTTGTGACTGTCATTATTATTATTATTATTATTATTATTATTATTATTATTATTATTATTATTATTATTATTATTATTATTAGTAGTAGTAGTAGTAGTAGTAGTAGTAGTAGTAGTAGTAGTAGTAGTAGTTATAGTAGTAGTAGTAGTAGTAGTAGTTGTTGTTATTGTTGTAGTAGTATATCACTGCTCTAATTACAAAATTATTAACTTTGGTTGTTTAATTAAGAATATTATTCGAAAAAATATATACATACTTCTGAAACAAGCTAGTTATGTGTTTCCTTGTCCTTTACACTTACAGAATGTTAGGAATTACGCAAACCTGTTGACCCCTGAAAGAACGTACTGATTGACATTTAATGTAAGGTTTTTATGAAACGGAAAGACTGTATTTCTTACAAATGAGCAAACGACACCTTTTTAAGTTTAATTTAATTGATGAATTGCTGAAATACTGATATGATTCTGCGCAATTATTGTTTTTATTATTGCTTATTATTATTATTGCTTATTATTATTATTATTATTATTATTATTATTATTATTATTATTATTATTATTATTATTATTATTATTATTATTATTATTATTATTATTATTATTATTATTATTATTATTGTTGTTGTTGTTTTTAGTATTTTTTTATTATTATTATTATCATTATTATTATTATTATTATTATTATTATTATTATTATTATTATTATTATTATTATTGTTGTTGTTGTTGTTTTTAGTATTTTTATTAGTGTTATACACCAAGCGATTAGTAGAATTGTAGAATCATTCTCAAAAGTTGGGAATATCTAAATATAAAACAAATAGCCATCAACGCTTCGAAAATAAAGCATTTCTGTTTTAACGCTGGATTCATTAACTAACATTTTGAAATGGGAAAACAAATTCCATGAATTAAAATTTATGTTCGTGAAGAAAATAATAAAACTTTACGTTATACAATATACTCACTTGCAAACTCTCGACATCCGCATTATATATTCAATTTTCAAATACTTTTTGGTATGAAGATATGTGGAAACAAAAATACGAACATTTATATTAATCTATGGTATATAATCGACATCGGTTGGGTGGCATTCTATGACACGTGACCGTTCTACGATTTAAATATTTTGATTTATTTCAACCAAATCGTCTGTGAATTTTTTTCTAATTTTTTTTTATATATTTTTTATATTTTCAATAATTAACAATTTTCACATTTTTTGAAATTTATTGTCTGTTATCAACTTTAAATTAGTGAATTCTCTAATGATCATAATCATTTGATCTAACTCAAACTCGCTCTAAACGTTTCTGACAATTATTAATGTCAAGAAGATTGTAGAATTTGCTTACTAGTGGCATGTAAATACTCATCAATATTTGGTGGTTTGGGTTTAAGTTAATGTGAGTTCGTACACCATCGAATTATCAATCATATAATGTACGGGGGTTGTTGTCCTTGATTCTTGACTAACCGTTCCTAATTATATTCACCGCTTCAACAGTTACACCGCTTAAAAGTTTCAATTTGTCCTTTGAGGAATGAATTTGACGAACTATTTCGTTCATCAGTAATTTAGTTCAAAAGAAGTGGACACTGATCAAATTAGCACGTGAACACCAAGAATGACTTAAAATGTACAGTCATCGAGAATAATTATTAAAAAGGGCACGTGTAATACGCCGCTCCGGTGGCCTAGTGGTTAGAGCGTCTGCCACGGATGCGGGAGGTCTCCGGTTCTATCCCCAGCCGAATCAAATCAAAGATTTATAAAAATGGTACTGACAACTGCCTCGCTTGGCGTTCAGTAGTACGATGTTAGTGTTAGGACTGGTCTATCTGGTGACAAGATAATGTGACTGGGTGGGACATCATGGCATCACTATAAACTGCCACACTGCTACATTAAAAATCCAAAACACACACACTTCGTAGCTTTGCTGTATATTTATGGTTAATACGACCTTTTATTAGTCCCTATGGACCATTTATAACAACCGAGCGGAGTCCTATTTTAACTTTCCAGTGGTTTGAATGTCAGCCAGGCAGGACAAGATGCTAGTGCTAGTACCACGATGGCAAGAGGAATCTGCTGCCTAGGCAGTCAGTCTGACATTTGTTAAAATGAGAGCGGAAAATAAGTTCATGCTAGCACTTTACTTTCATCGAAATACGTGTTATATTGTTTTATTACATCTGACATTACATGGTTGAGTTTATTAATATAATTGCAATCAATACGTTGAATTTATAGCTTCAGGAAATCAGTGAAATTAGTACACAACGATTTATGTCTTCACTCCTAGAACCTTTTGTTGTGTTTTGTTTGTGCTCAATGTCTTGCATTATATAAAATCGCTTATGCAGCAAAATATGAAATTAGTGAAACAATCGGCTAGACCGATTTTCTCAAAGCATTCTGAACATACAATTTATATGAATTACTTTCCTGGCTGAAGACGTAATCACACCATAATACTCACATTTTTAGATGCAACATAGCTTTTCCAAACACCGCTCATTCAACTCAGATGTTCTCATATGCCTTCCAACATAAGAAAAATTTGTACTGTTCCGTGTTTAGGCTTGAGCAATGTAATAAAGAAAATATTGAAGACAACAAGCTCTGTAAATTTTTAAAAAGGTAATTTAGATCTCAAGAAAAAAGGCAAAAATGTGAAAATCGACTTACAGTTTGTGAATATAATTCAACAATTAATCCTAGAATTTAAAAATATAAGTCCTAACACTAAAGTCAAGTTCCAAAATGGAAGGCAATGACGTCTTTTATTATATGCCTTGTGTTGATGTTTCAACAGGTCCTTGTTGAATTATATTAATCAAGAATAATATTCAGGCTTTAGAATTCCAAAGAATTTCCAGTGAATGTCATTGTCCACGAATTTGATGAGCACACGTATTTTCCATGGTGAATAAACTATTTTAAATTTTAAAACATTTTAATTCAAATAACAACAACAAGACAAATACCTTGACACCGAAATTATATAATTACAACTCTCTCAAAAACAATGAATTCTCAGTATTAAACCCAACTAAGAATGAAATTTTAGACCCGCTTGATAGGTTACGTGGTCACTTATTACAATTCAATTAGCACGTAGGGTAGAATAGCCTGAACAAAGAATGGTTATTCCCACACTGGAAATGAATGTTTGCTTTTTTGTGTTAACAAAACAACTTGTTTACAACTGAGCTAACACGTGGGCTGAGCATGACCGTGGTATTGACCAATAGTTTTCACGATGTTAAAAAAATCTGATCCAAAATCAGCTAAAAATAAGTTGTAGCAATCGAACTGCGTTGTTATTAGGTCAAAACAGAGAACTTAATTTAGTGGAAAATGTCAAATCCAATATAAAAAATTATCAATACAACTAAATGCAGTGAAACAAAAAAGAAATTTAAAACTAACACACAAGTAATTTAATTACATATACGTAGTAGTATAAAAGTTTATATGTATACTTTTCTGTTTACATTATTTTTTAACTAACAGCATTCAACTTTGACTATTATATTTAAAGAGTCAAAGTCATCACATATCCGTACGCAACAGAATCTTTCAAACTGGATGGTTTAAGTATTCAAGTTTCTAATTATTCTCGAGAGAAGCATGTATCAACATGTATAACAATGTTAAAGTTCGTGACTTTTACATTATTCTTTTTGATGACAAATATTATATGGATTTCATTAATTAAGGCTTTTGTAATTATGCTACACGATAAAATTTAAGGCTATTAGGTTTACATATAATTAATGACCAAATAATTTTTTGAGAATCTTTTAAAAACCCTAAACATATTAAAATTTTAAATTTCAATGATTTAATAATATCCAGACTAAGAAAATTACTTTATCACAGACAGCTCCCTGGGGTATAAGTAATTAACAGCATCAGCCTTGGATGCGGGAGGTAGTGGGTTTGAAACCCCGGCAGAGTCATGCCAAAGACGTATAAGAATTGTACGAATAATTGCTTCGCTTGGAGCTAAGCATCAAGACGTTCCTGTTAGGACTGGTCAACAAGATGTCAGGCTTGCATGCATCTTAGAGATATGACTGAAAAATTGTTAAAGCTAGGTTAGAAATCTTATTCACACCCATAAAACACACATTTTCACAATATATAGTATCTAAAATCAGCTTTCCTCTAACAAAAACTGTCACAAGGTTGACTTCTTGTGCCGTCTAACTACCATTACGATTCTGACCGTCTTAAGATAAGTAAAAGCTAAGAATGAGAAGAAGCATGCTTGGTAAAGGTCAAGAAATAATTTTATCCCTCGAAAATAAAACCGTTCTGGTGTCATAAATCCCCAATCCTAGACATCACTTTAAAAAACAACTATATGGTATAATGGTACCAATTGTACAACCCCAGGTGGGAATAGCTTAAGGTGTAGGGAACATTGCTTTCAGAAATAAACGACAAAACTAGCTGTGATTGGTGCATTATGTAAGAGTTGTACTTTCTGTTAGGCTTTAAAAAAAGATGAGCCTCTTGGCAACATGTGAAATTATGTTAATTCATATCTAGATCACATTTTGTATTTTTTAAGATTTTTTTAAAAATGTGGTACACATGACTGAAAATGTGTCCGGTGTAACTAGATAACTCTTACCCCTGTCTAGTTCCAGCAGAGTTATCTCTCTTAAATGCAGTGGAGTACCTATTTTCGATGTTATCAAATTAACAATCTAACATTGTTCTCTGTGACAGTGTGTGACATGCATGCTTAGGTAGGACAGAAGGTATATCTATTTCGCAAAACATTAGCATTGCGGTCTATGGAAAAGCAATTGGTACCGTGATACCTAAAGGGAAGAACAGCCTCCTAGTGTATCCATAGAAACGCATACATGTTGGCGGCATTTATGAACTGTACTAGTTTGTTGTAGGAAAACTAATGTATGCTGAACATTTCTGGTCAAATATTGGCAATCTTTTAAGAATAAAATGTATAAAATCTTAAGAAAATAGCACAAGTTGACTTAGGATTGGGGCTTTTGATGTGACAGACATAGACTTATATTGCCTGATGGTGATGGTTTCATTTTTGTGTTGTCAGCTCCAAGATTGGCAAAGATGCACCAAAGTAAGTTATGTAAACATATTATAGTAGATTTTGGCCAAATATTGACTATTTTACCTGTCAAATATTATAAATCATGCAAATTAAAACAACAGGCCCAACATTATTGAGTGGTAACCATATTAGTCACATATTGCCCATTCCTTCCATTCAAGTAATCACTGTTATTCCAACTTTGCATCCCATCGCAAGAATCCAATTGGCATGGGATCATATCCGCATGTTTATGGAAGGCTGTACTCCACATGTTGGCATTGTAGACAACATGAAAACAAACAAGCCGCCTCACCTTTTAGAACAATATTACATCACTCTTGAGGACTCCATTACATACAGAAGTCTGAATATTAGGTTCCCATTTATCAATAGTGTATTTCTTGGGATAATTTAATTGCATTGTTAATACATGTGTTAATAATGCCGTCTCTATTACATAGATAATATATTTGAGGAAATAAAATGACCACATCTTATGTATATAAATCAGTTATCTCCCTTACACCAGACAGAACAATTCAAGAAATAAAACCATTCATTTTCAGTGACTGGTTATAAAAATAAAGAGAAGATTTGTGAAATACTATATTAGCCCTCAGTCTTGATGAAAATATAAGTAGAAGCAATTTAATAATTTCTCACAGTAACTTTTACATGTTTAAAACCAGATAAGTGATGTTTTGTTTGGTTTAGGTAATTTTCTGCATAAGTTTAGCCAGTTTCTGTTAATTTCTTATATAAAGAAATGCAAATTATATGCATCTATATCTTCTAAATTATTCGCTCTTATGCATTAGATGGGAATGAACACCACTTCACTTGAAAGTTCATTGCATGTGATAGATATTGTATCACATGTGCCTTCGGACTGTCCTTGGACCAATGGGGTACTGCCTCCATATATTTGTCCAAGGTAAGGTCATGAAACTTTTGCTTCTCAATTTCCTCATTGCTGCTTTTGTCTCCTTTAATTTCTTTATCATAAGTTACAGCTCTCTTTTAGATACACACTTTCCTCCTGTTTTAACTCCATTTGACTCACTTTACTTATTATCTTTGGCATTTTTCTATATTGTATTCCCCAAATTTCACCCCTAATGCAGCACAACCATTTCAAAGTTGTGAATATACTATATTTGGTGATAGATTGGCTTATTGCATTAATTTTATTCACTACACTAAGGAGGGAAGGTTTATATTTGTATTACCAAGAGGATGGGTAGGTTGACCTTTGTATGAGGACTGGAGGTTAGTGACCTCATGTATCTGCAGACAGTGTAAAGTGTAGATTGCTTATACTTTATAATAAGATTGGTTCATATCCACCTGTCTCTGGTGTTAAGTTCTGCATCTACCAAACAAAGATAAAGTCCTTTAGTTTAGGTGAAGTGTACTTAATGAAGTAGAAGAGGTATGTACTGTTCAGTACACTGACCTTTGACCTAATTATTACATACTATGATATGATGTGATTTATCCCCTATCACCCATCTGAAGTTCAGTAAGTGTTGATGTGAATAAAACACAACAAACAGTTAAAACAAATCATTTTATTCCAAAAATATGGTTTGTTAGTAAAGCACAAATATGAAAACAGCAGCTGAAAAAGTTTAAAGACAATTACATACACATTAATATAA